CACTTGGATAAGATTTATATATTTTGTCCTTTATGAGATCTCATTTCAAAGAAATAAATTCTTGCTTTGGGCATATCTATCAAAGTTATGACCATCAAAACTGATGGGCCAGTACGCTATATGGATTTTCATTCAAATGAAGTAATTCCAATCCCAACTCCCTGGTAATAGTCTGAGAAGAACATGTTACCAAATCTATCTTCATACCAGAACTCAAACTTCTCTTTAATAAATCAAACACATAGCCTTGGTTTACACGTTCTGGAAAACCTAATGTCTGCTAAACTCCAAATCTCATGGGTTCTTTCAAACTAAAATCCTGCATGTCATGGTCATATGGCAAGCACAAAAGATCCCGCAGAGCGCAGAATTTTTCAATCTCTATCCATCAATTGAATCTCTCGACTGTACTTTGTTGAGAATATGTTTTTCAACAACTCATCATCGAAACCAGGTATAGGGTGTCTCATAAAAAAATGATGGTCACAAATGGTTTCTTTAATAATAAATAGTAATAATAAAATGGTGCTTATGAAGCACTTTCCACCAAAGTCTATCATAAGTATGACATGATCATATTGTGCATAAACTAAACATCTTGCAGAGCAGAGAATTTTCAGTCATTTTTTATCAATTGAATCTCTTCCTGTGCTGTGTTGAGAATATGTTTTTCAACAACTCATCATCAAAACCAGGTATAGGGTGTCTGATAAAAAAATGATGGTCACAGATGGTTTCTTAAGCATGTCTTGGTCATATTGCATGAACTGAATATCATGCAGTTTATGCGATTCGATTTGCAATACCATTGCAAAATGTTTAAAATATGTAAAATATGAAACAATAAACTGAAACCCAAACTGAAACTTCAAGTTCAATGGACTTTAGTTTGTATGGGGCCTGTTTTATGTAAGCATACAGGAGCGCATCAATTATTCTTTTCACAATTAGTTTTTGTGGTAATTGATAATATACTGATTGAACTTGCAATATCTCTTTTTAGAAGTAACATTTGAAGCTCATATTTTGTCCATATTATAACAACATTGAACCAATAACATGAAGCACAATATATATTTGGGTGATTTTGGCGTATTTAAATAAAAAGATGATTATTTCAAATTTAGTGCAGCAGAAACTTCAAATTCAGTGCAGCAGATTTAACTTTATATGTACATTGTGTGTGCAAAATTATTTGTTGGGATACAAAGGTTAAATCTTTTCCTTATCATAACAGAACTAACGGACTATTAGATCCATATCAAAAGAAGAACAACGTTTTTTTTTGAAGAGTTTCAGTTGCCACGTCAGAGCTCCGAACCCTAGATATTGTTTCAGCATGGCTGGCTACAAAAGTGCAAGTTAACTTGGTTGACCCTCGGAACGCAATGGAGCGTGACCACATTGCCATTGCTGTAACACAATAGTGGGCTGGTCCATTATGCCCTGCGGGGAAGGTATCCATTAGTTTTACTTGGATGTGCATGGTTACCATGATAAAATTTTTGTTTAAAAGTTATTTCCAACTCGGAGCCGTTTGCAATCAACTAATCAAAGGTTAGGAACTTAGGATATTTTTTAATGGATAAAGTTAGTGCCAATTTTAGGTTACTAACTATGTATTGCAAAGGGGCCTTTCACCCAGAATATATTACGATTACTTTGGGGTCAGTTGCACTGTGATATTATTACACTTGTTCTTTAATGTCAACCCTGGTCCAAACGCTACATCTAACCCTAACCATGACCCTAAACCTAGCCTAAAAACCTATTGTAACCCTACACCTAACTGACGCTATATTTCTGATTGTCAACAGAGCAAATGACAGTCGAGAGCATCCTCACACTCATTTTATAGCAATTTTGAGAAAAAAAATTGAAATGTTTGAATTTTAAAATGGATAAAGAAGTAGATCTGTGATTGCCCAAAGATACAAAAGGATGTATTTAAAGTCTCCTTGAAATGTGGTATTACAATTCGAAATCTTCAAATGTTCTGTAATTTCTGCAAAGTAATTTTAATTCAGGAATACTTAAAAGCTATATATTCTTGGATAAACAAATTTAATTACAAATACATTTTTACTAGATGAATCATTTGAAAAGTGTTTTCATATTGTTTCTGTTTTTCAACTTAGTATATTTCATTGAGGGAGGACAAGGGAATTAATGTGCAAATATACCGGTAGTTAATGCTCTTTATATTCATCATGCTATGTAAATAACGGTCTGCGCAATTTACCACAATGTGCTGAAATATACATGTATACAAACTGGCCCCATGCTAATGAGCGAATTGCAATCAGTGTAAATATCTGTCGCCACCGTGACTATCGACTTTAGTTAAAGTTTAAAGATTTAAAAAAAGTATCTGTACAACTGTACGTGTATACTGCCTACATTGTATGTTCAAGTTCATGGCTAATGTTGTGAATAAAAGGAGGAAATCTGCTTTAAGTTCTTGAGTTTCTTTTAATTAGAACCATTCATACCCTTCATATCACTGAAAAGGCCTGTTTTAATCAGCTCGAGTTTGCCTAATAACTCACTATTTTCAGACACAGGATATTATCCTGAAGCTTGAAATTGGGTCCTAGCCAGACTGTTACACTCACCATAGACTAGCTCGGACAGGCGCAAATTAGCACATGGTATTTTGGAAACAAGACCAAGATAAACCGATTAATTTGTGATTGGTATAGTTAAAATAGCTGGTTATTTGGCAAATTCGAGCTGATGAAGACGGGCCTAATGAAACTTTCAGAGCATTTCTTGCCACACTCCTTTTATTATTAAAGGCCAATTAAAGTTATAATTGATGCTATCATATTAGATGTCAAGTAATTAACCCAAAGGTTAATTAACTTCATGTCCTTGAGATTTCCACATTAGAACTTTCCATGAACTACTTCTGGGCCAGACTCTCCCAAAACATTTATTTTATCAAGGTCATATATAGTTATTAATGCTATTGAATTTACATTCAATTATCAAAATAATGCTTGTTTATTTGACTTTGGTTAATTTAGGACAGGGATTTGTAACTTTGTATAGAGAGTTGTTTTGTAGCATTCCTGCCCCTCTCTGCTTAGGTGACCAAGTGGGAAGCTATTTCCCCCACCCACAATGAAGTGCACTGGTCCGTGTTGATGCCATTGTCCTGTGTCAAGGATAGCTGTGGGTGGAAGGTTCCATTGTACAATATGGGGGTCATGGATGAGGGATTTTTTCTATTTTATTAGATGGGTTGGTCTTTTGTCAGGAAAGACAACACGATTAAAAGATAAAGAACACTGGATGATTTGCTTGTTACAAGTGCATTAAGTTGGAAACTTATTAGCCTACATCTAAGCATTAAAGGCCAGGACAAAGATCTGCATGCCTTGAATGATATACTAGTGAGTTACATTCCCATTTGCAGCCAACATCAAATTCTGTGGAACTTTGCAAGAATTAAGAATATGTCACATATCTGTGAAATTTAAATGTAAGCAGTGTCCTACTATTCGAATTATGCAAGGAAATCTATTTTTTCTCTAGATTTCACTGTCAGACACTATTTAGTGACTGACCAACTTCATTTTTTCTTTGGTAATAACATACATAAAATGAGCTGTAAAGGTACATCAATGACCTACTTCTTGTATTGGTAAAAATTGAACTGATTTAATCTTTGTGCAGCACAAAACGTATGACCATTCGGTACAAGGGTCTGAAAATCAGACTATTCCTAAAATGATTGCAATCACTAAGTCAATTCGACAACTAATGCTCGTTATTTTCCCACTAAAAGACATTTTCAAGCCCTTTGGTTTTGAGGGAAGTTTTAAATTACCAGTAGTGTTATCTTTCAAATGCTGTTAGAATTTAACCTTTTCATTTGTTGGGCCTGCAAATAGGATATAGTACCTTTAAGGCGGGTGGCCAATTATTATTTGACTATTGTGTAGCACATTGATATCATCCCTCACCATGATGTAGAACTGATTTGATCCATGGAAGCAATCAGTCATATTGATGTGTTCACAGTATCGGTGCTTTAAATAAATGTCATGTTCGATACTTGGCTCCCCCTAATTTACATCAACACTTTTTTTATTTTTCCTTTTTTCTTCAATTTTCCATAACAATACACCTGGAATGCAGGTGAAGAACTTCTGAATGATTGTGTTGTTGTTCTGGTGTAATGCTGATGTATACATTGAGGAGCTTTTAATAGTTTTATAACTTTGTCACTCTGGAAGAGTTCAAACTGTAGAGGGAGACATATAAAATCATTCTTTGTGCTCTTTGAGTATGTCTACTACACATAAATACACCAGAATTTGTATGAGACTTGTTACTTGAAGAATAGGGAGAATTTGTATTTATTTATTCAGTTATTTGTTTATTTATTCATTTATTCATCTATTCATTTTTGCATGGTATGATCAAGATGAGATTTAACCAACAATAGCAGTAGACTTCAAACAGGTAGCTACAATCATAACACATTTACAGTAATACTGCATGGAGAAACATGCAGGGGTTTGGAAATATAAGCCCAAGGCTTGAATTTCACTCTCTTTTTCTCATGTTTGATCCTTTTCACACAGATACATGCAATACTTAAAGAGGCATTGCTATTCCCATAGTCTCAACCTAACCCTGGACTCGAGCTCTAGTCCTTTTTCTAATCTCACAGTTAGCGATGTAGGCCTATAAATGAGTGTCTAATCCAGTGCCTAAACCAGTACCTAGACCAGTGCCTAAACAAGTGCCTAACCAGTATCTAAAACATACAATGATTCACATAATTTCAATATTTTTGTCCCATTTCCAATTACAGAAAGAGAAATACCACACTCATCTAGCAAAGCTGAACTTGGTCCAAGTCATGAATTTAAGGACTTACTACAGTTTCAGTGGGAATAATGTTGATTTATTTTCATTATTCTTGAAAGCTCAAACACAAGATTGATCTAATATTTGTAATATTTCTCATCTTTTTTCTGTTACAGAAAGAGAAATACCACACTCATCTAGCAGTGCTGTACCTGGACCAGGTCCTGAAGATGAAGGCCAGCACTGAGACAGTCCCTAGGTTAGACCTGGACCTGGCCCGGTCCAAGCTGCGTCACCTGCTCCAAGACTCCTCCGTCTATCGGGTCCAGCTCATCCTAGGGAAGGTCAAGGAGACAGACATGTATGCAGAATGTGCAATACTGTATGGAAAGGTATGTTCCCTGCACTTACCAGGGCCCGTTGCATAAAACTTACTACATTTTTGATCAATGAAATCCTGTTCAGTGATTGGTCAACAGAGCATCACGTGATCCAACATAATATTGCTATGATGTAACCGTGGCGTCATCCGTGGTAAAGTGCACTATACCATAGCACTATACCATGGATGACATAATAGATATGCGATCGATCAAGATCAATGTGCTATCGGTCGCGGTCACTTTATGTCCGTCTGCGCTGCTCTCACCAGCCAGAGCACCTGCAGTATACACAACTTCAGTGACACTAAACATTATTATTAATATTTAATATATAAGGTTGGTTTGAAAAATATAAAACAAGTATATCATGCACTATTTCAAGCCAATAGTGAAATTATGGATTCCTCAGCGACAGAAATAGCACTATTCCTGCCACCTCGATCCATAATTGCAACTAGAGCCTCTCAGTGCATGGTATATTTGTTTACTATTGATGGTAACTTGGCTGTTATTGATACCTTGAATTGATTGGTTATTGCACCACAAGAGGGGGTGATTTTGTTACAGATCAAATCAATTTGCTGGTTGATTTGCCATATTTATTATGATTGTCATCACCCTTGTCAGGGAGAATTTACCACTGGTTTTATTCTTTTCTGCCATTCCCTGTGTTTGGTATAGAGTACAGAAGCTTTGATAATAGTGATTTCCCATTGAAATCTATTTATTTGGATGGTCATATCTCAGCCAATGCTTTGTTTTCATCATTTGGACATTATTTTTGTTGCTCTTTCGGAAAACGAAGATCAAATTATCATTCTGATTATTATCTTTATCACCATCATCATAAATCATCACTATCACAATCATCACTGTATTGTTTCTATCCTATCCCCACCCCTCAGCTTGAGGAGCACGACAAAGCTCTTCGGATCCTGGTCCACAAGCTGCAGGACTACGGAGCCGCAGAGAACTACTGCATGGTCAACTCCAAGGACCAGGACCAGGCCTACAGGAGAAGACTGTTCCAGCTCCTGCTCACAGTGTACCTGGACCCAATGGAAGGGTAAGTGTTCAAATACCTAGTTTCATAAGGGGAAAATTTTGCTCCCACTACTCATCCTTCCCTTTAAGGGACCAGTCCCACATCACTGATAATACATTGAAACCTGTATATGAATCCGCTCAAGGGAAACATGAAAAGTAGTCTTTTTAGGCAGGTGGTCTTAATGTACTAGTTCCTTTAGTACACTCACTCAGGTTTCATTCAGAACCCATATTCAAGGGAAATGAAAAAAATGTGGTCTTTATAGACAGGTGGTCACTAAAGAAGGTTCGACTATAATAACTATGAATTGGGTCTCATGAAGTTATGTGTAATTTATTGGATATTGATGTTGCTCACTGATTTTTGCTGATCAGCTTTCAGTACTGATTTGCTTGGATCCTCCTTTTAATTGTCTCTTTGTGTCATTCTTTGTTTTAATTTTTTTCTTCTCTCTGTTTTTCTTTTTTTTTTCCTTCTTTACATTTACCTTGCATTTGCTATCAGTATATTTAGCCTTGACTTCTGTTTTTTGTCTCTTTCTTTGGTACAGTAAAAAGGATTCCCTTCTAGGACCTGCTATGAATCTGCTCAACAGCCCAGAGGCTGACTTTGATACTGTCAGAGTAAGTCCTTCTTTTATTTTTTTCTTTCATTCATTTATTTCTGCGTCAAGATAAAAAACAATATTATAAAATATTCAAAAAAACCAACATATATAATGAGATATCTGAATTGGGAGGGTCATGAAAAGCACATAAATGGCTTGTTGAAACTGGTCCTGGCTAAATAACAATTACTTGTATATAATTTACAAAAAAGGGAAGATAAAGAAATAAGAGAAAAGGAGGATCCGTTGCATAAACATTGAAAAATAAGTTATAAGAATTTTTTTTAAAGTTCCCTTTGTAGTTTGGAGCAGCATAGCCAAGAGAGTGGGGGCACATTCCTCCGACAAAATAAGTATAATACAACTTATAGTAATTTGAGGATAATTAATATTTTACCTCTGTATATGCTTTAGAAGGTTTAATTCTTAATGTCTACCTTTTAATTTTATTTTTGCCAATTAATATTTAGGCACAATTCATTCATCACTTGAGCATGAAATATTTTTTCTTGTGATTCCCCCATGCAGAAAACAATGATCCTCTTCAACCTGCCCCTCCCCCACCCCCTATAGATCAGAAGAAATAGGTTATCAAATGAAGTTTACAAAAACTCTATCATTATCTTGCATGAGGACCTCTCCATTTGCATCACCAGTAAATGAAAAGTTCTGACACATTCCCCTCATTCTCTTGACAGGTTCTTCAGCTCCTTCCGGAAACCTGGTCAGTGGGTCTCATCTCACGCTTCCTCTCCGAAGCGGTCCGGTCCAGCACCCACGGGAGCCGCATGTCCCGTGTGGAACACACCCTGACCCGCAGTGAGAACCTGCACCTGCGCGGGGAAATCGTAGACAACAGCCGTTGCCTCATCTCCCTCACCGAAGACCGGATGTGCCAGGTCTGTCGGGGGCCGTTCAGTGAGCCGACCTTTGTGCGATATCCGAACGGGGTCATCACGCATACGCAGTGCGCAAGGAATAAAGCGGTTTGTCCGGTCACGGGGCGGTTGTTCAGTACGCGCAAGGAGTCGACGTGATAGAGCATTGCTGAGTGGTTTTGTTATGCTTGACCAGATCATAGTGGTTTTTATTGCTGTGAACTCTTAACTCTCAACTATACAGTCTCATCTGAAGACTGAACTCTCAACTCTAGACTGTGAACTCTCAACTATGCAGTCTCATCTGTAGACTGTGAACTGTGAACTCTCAACTATACAGTCTCATCTGAAGACTGAACTCTCAACTCTAGACTGTGAACTCTCAACTATGCAGTCTCATCTGTAGACTGTGAACTGTGAACTCTCAACAATACAGTCTCATCTGAAGACTGAACTCTCAACTCTAGACTGTGAACTCTCAACTATGCAGTCTCATCTGTAGACTGTGAACTCTCAACTCTCAACTATGCAGTGTCATCTGTAGACTGTGAACTGTGAACTCTCATTTCTGCACGCTCATCTATAGACTGTTAACTCTGAACTCTGCACTCTCATCTGTAGACTGTGATATCTGAAATACATGCAGATGTAGACAGACTCCAATACAGAACTTTGTTTAATCTTAGTCCAAAGTAAGCAGATCTATCATGGGCTTTTGAGAAAAGCAGTTTTTCCAAACAAGAATGTGTAGAATTAAATTGAATGCAGAGTATAACTGGCCAGTTTACTTGGCATCTATCTGAGCACATATTATCTTCTTACTCTGTTAGTGTAGACCTGCAACCCCGAAATCAGAGAAAAATTCAGGGAAATTCCTTTTTCCCCTCCTGCAAAAAGTAAGGAAGTTAGAAGCACAAAAACATCCCTCAAATCTAGGAAAATGCATTTTTTTATTGGCCCCAAAAGAAAGTACCGGCAGTTGAAATCTCTGACACTTTAATTGCCTCAACATTCAGTCTTTGAACACTTTGGTTGACTTTTTCGCCTCTATGCACATTCACTCATTTGCCACATGTGCAAATTTGCACAAAACAGTAGGCATCAATTGGGGGAAAGATTGCTTTGTCCAACACAATGCAAATTATTCATTTGCAGACTTGATTAGTTCCATCACAACTTTTTTATCACTGCCATAGATTAATCACGCACTGGAAATAATTACATAAAATCCTGAAGTTTTTGGTATGGTCATCTCATGATAAATACAATAATATGTGCACAGGGAGATTATTTGTGTGCAATACAAAGGGTTAAAGGTCACATTTGGTGTAAGGTGAACATCACCTCATCCTAATTGCTCACTCACAGGCATGTATGTGTAGCCATAATACAAAGTTGCATTTTGCCTAGTATTATCATGTATATGATTTTGCATTCTTTTTCTATTCAAAGTCACAAAACTGCATATAAAACATTGCCAACACCAAAAAGAATAGGCCTATTATGTTGAAGTTCTTTGGGATAAAAGTGCTGAAAGTCATTTGAAATCAAGTTCTGTCTAGATCATGTGCTGTGTGACAATGTTTTAAGATGCAGAGTCCGGTATTTTGAAAGAAGAAGAGCTACAACCTAGCTTCCTCGTTTCAGGTGAAGAACGTTCTATTTCTAAAAAATATGAAGGATTAAAGTGTTCTTAGTCATCTCTATGTAAGAGATTAAACATTCCTACAGTAGATTTGAGAATTTCCCAAGCGCACGGCACTCACGAAATAGCCCCTGTAAGTTGTGTTGCGTAAATTGAATGTGGTGTATAAAACACTAATATTATTGAAGTGCAATTTGAGCAAGCATTCAACCAGCATTGCATGTGTTTGCAAATATATTCTTGACCAAATAATTATTCACATTTTAATGTTTACTTTTATATTATATTATTGTTGTTGTGTAGGAATTACAATCAAGCTTTTTGTATTGTTGGTACATGTGGCATTTCATGTGCTTTTTCTGTACCGTGTTCTGTGTGCAGTTCGAACTGTATAAAATACAGAGTAACCTACAAAAGAACAAACAAAAATCAAATTTACAAGGGGTATGAATAATTGAGTTGTTAACTGTATCACCATGTATCACAATTCATATTAATGGCGTAAAGTCTCATCTTCATTTTATCTTGTTTTTCATGCAACTCAATTTGTAGCGATGTACATTGTAACATATATGATATATTTATAATGCTTTGAAATTGTGGGATTTCCGGATATAAAGAGATGTGTACAATTAAAGATGTCTGTGTACACAAATTTTGGCAATGGTACATTGTTGTTGTTACTTCTTGTTGTTTCTAGTCGGCCAATTCCATGCGTTGCAGAGTAACATTTACAGAGAATTTGTTGTTTTGAAGAAAAAAATATCATAGACATTTTAATTCATACTCTAAAAATTAATGACGAGATATATTGAAGATAGTGTTGATTTGATGATAAAAACTCCTTGGTAAATTATTAATTTCCAAAGATTTCAGCCAAAATTATACCACAATACCGGATACTTGTTCAAACTTTCAAATCTATGTCGACCACCCTTCCTGTATAGAGTACCGAAGTGTGACGTCATCAAAAATCTATTTTTAGTAATTCTCAATTTTTTCTTCATATTCCGAAAGAACATTAAAAATAATGTCCAAATGTCGAAATCCCATTGAATATGTTCAGTATTGGCTGAGATATGACCATCTGAATGAATATATGTCCTATAGGAATTCAGTGTTATATGCTCTGGCTCCTAACCATTAGGAGCCAGAGCATATAACACCGAGTTCCTATGGGGAGTATATTTATTCAGATGGTCATATCTCAGCCAAAACTTAACATATTCTATTGGTTTTCGACATTTGGACATTATTTTTGATGTTCTTTTAGAAAATGAAGAAAAAATTGAGAAATTCTAAAAATAGATTTTTATGACGTCACAGCTTCGGTACTCTATACATTCCCTCACTCTTTCAGCAACAGAGAACATCCTATTCTCTTAGATCTTCATCAGCTCCTACCTTTGTCATTCCCAAATCCCGTAAACAGGCTGGTTTCAAATCCTTTCAGTCCTTAGCCCCACATCTCTTGAACAAACTCCCCTCATTCTTAAGAAACAGTACTTCAATAGATTTCTTCAAAAAACAACTGAAAACTTGCCTGTACAACTCCCTGCATTGTTGATAGTCTCAGAAACAGCGCATTGTAACCTTTTGAAAAGGCGCTATATAAATCCAATTATTATTATTATTATTATGCATAGTTTTGAATGGATTACGACCGATGACCGAGAGAGAGGGTCTTTGAGAGTTTGTGTGAGCGTTCATGAAAGCAACAGCCCCAAAACCTAACAGACCTGTTTGTCTCTAAGGTCCTCTGAAAACTTTTGTGAGGGTTCATGAAACCAACATGTGACTCTGGAGGGCCGTCGGTATCGATACCAGTGTGTCGGCTCAGTCAGTAGAGCGTCCGCCTCACTACCGGGAGGTCGTGGGTTCGAACCCCCGGCCGCATCATACCAAAAGACGTTAAAAGACGGGAGTTGCTGCTACCTTGTTTGGCGTTCAACAATAAAGGGATAGAGCTCAGTGGCTGCCGGGCTCACGATCAATTGGGCAAAAAGAATTTCCATTTTCGGTTTAACTTAATAAAATTTGGAGTGGACTTTAAAAGATTATAAATATTAATATTTAATCATGGGCTCTCGGTTAATTTGGATGCAACTAGAAATACCACCACACTTCAGATTGAGTAATTGAGGGGGAATAGGGGAACAGGGAGTCTGACCATCTCCTTCTTTGCCAAATGACATTAGTGACTCGTCAGGGATAGAACCTTCAACCTTTGTAATCAAGCGCTTCAACCACTGCACTACGACACCTCTATCTGGCTCCGAAAAGATAATATCTACGCTAAAAAGGTGCATTCTTCCTTGGCTATACAAAATACAATTAATTACTAAATCATTCATACCCTTACAGTTTTGTATTCTTTTAATTAAGTGAAAAATTCCTTTGTCCCGATGTGAGTGTGACTCATTAAAAGCTTACATCTAACCCTATTCAACAAAGGCCTTAATTCATTCTTTCATTCTTGAGTTTGAAAAAACACCAAATTTAAAATAGATAAATTAGTTTTTAACTGTAAATTTTGACGAAGTACAAAACACACAATAATCAAATCTCTTGATTCATATCTTTATTTTATTATCATAGCGATGAAAAGGAAGCAATTAAAAAACCCTAATAATGGATGAAATATCAAAGAAAATGACAGATTTATTACAAAGTCTTGGTAGCGTTCACATATTTCATGATTTTTTTTTCTCCTATCCTGTACAACTACAGTACATTCGATGTGCAATAAAAAGTTCCCCGAAAAACAGCAAAATTACAATCATCAGCAAATACAAAAGATAGCTTTTATGAACAAAAAGACGAACCCAGGTGCAAGGTTAATTATACAAGCTCTTTATCTTTCGATATAATAACAAAATAAATGCATTTATAAGATATTTAGAAGTTTATTTACAGCCATAATTTCTCCTTTTCAAACTAATCACTATACACATGTGGCAAAATTACTTAAATTTTTTTGACAAATATATCTGACATATATATGCACGATAATGCACCAATTTTGAAGGTTTTCCTATATTCATGACTTTACCTAAATCTAAATGCTATCGCTACACGCACATTCAGTGTATAGTACCAATGCGTTTATCTGGGTATGCAAGTATATATGCAAATATGAAATGTTTATTTTGAATGACTTTTTTAGAACTAAAGTATGCATGTGCACAAAATGATGGTTTGATTAATTTCATACATCTTATAGCTACTTGAACACGCTTTCTAGATATTTTGGTCATTCCAACACAAATGCTTTTACACTACTCAAATGAAATACAGGTACTGGATTTGCGTAAAAGTTTGGAACCTCTACATTAACTGTCACCCTTCCTAATAAGAAGAAGACAAAAAATCAAATCTAGTTTTGGAAGAATGACTTTTTTAAATGTCTTAGAAACTCAAATGGCTAAAAGAAATCCACCTCCGTAAAAATTAAGAGATGAAGAAGAAGAAGAAAAACATTTAGGTGACGCCTTATTTAAGCAATAATCGTACAGTAAAATACAAAGTTTGGTCCATATAGATACAAGTGTGAATATGCTATCTCAATCATAATTTGAAGGGTGTTGCACCACCGTTAACCCTTTCACGACAATCATTCCACATTTTGTGGTTTCGCTAAATAACTTGATTCAGAGACCTACAAAATATGCCAGGTGTACGAGGAGAAAAGGCAAAATGTATGCGTTCTTGTTTCATGACCATATTGCGTTTGATGCCAGTAAACTTTAAAAGGAAAGTAAGCTTTAAAATCTCTAACTTGGCAACACAATGAGAAATTCAAAAATCAGGTTTATTAAAATAAAAATGGGCCACTTTTTACAGATTTTTCAAAAACATTCTCAACAATGTATACTATCTTCGGAGACATTATATTTTGTAGCAATAAAAGAAATATATAATTGTTGCCAATTTAAAGAACAAAACGTGATTAATTTAGCCCTTACAATAAATCTCGTCCTGAAAGAGTTAAAAAGCACAATCAACCACATCTTAGAACCATGGTTTGGTTTATCAAAGTCAAATTATACCATAGCTACATGTATACACACTGATGATAGTAACACATAAGGCCCCTGTTTCATAAAACTTCTTATGAATAACAAATGCTGAATTTCTATGACAAATTTGCTGTCAGCCAATCAAATAGCACGATTTCAGTAGCTTATAACAGTTATTGTTACTTGTTATTGATGATAAGTTTTGTGAAACAGGGCCAAGGAACTGATGAATAGTACACACAATAAGACACTATTATATAACAGCATTTAACCTTTCACGACTCACACACAATTAATCATGCATAATTCAAAGGCAATTTAATGTGATTTGAAGTTGATATGATATCAAAATTTAGAGAGAGAGATGTCATGGTGACATTAGTGCAGTATGTAAGTAAGGTCATAGGTCAAATCATGGAGCTCCAAATATGTAGTTTCCTCCCACAAAAAACTATGGGAGGGACTACATGTATTTGAAACCCATGAAATGGCTGACAGATCAGAAGCAACTTCCTGTGGCATAACTCTCTGTCTCATCAAACTATGGTTGAATCTATATACTGCCCTCAGCCATCCCAACTCTTGTAGTTCTGATTTTAATAGACAATTATATACAGCAACTTTAATGATCCAATTTTCAGTAAACAAGCTCAAATTTTTGAATAATCATGCATTATTGTTGGGAAACATTGAAATCAGATCTTTGCACAATTTAAATTACAATTTACATGTACTTCAATAATTTGCGGACATTAAAATGTCTGTACTTCACGTTTTTAAAACATTTCTAGAATTCTCATTTTCCTTGCCTCTCCTCTTTGAAGCATATACTTTTCATATAAACCATTTGTATGCACCATAAACATCAACACTGCTGCTTTTGATAAGTAATTTGTTTAAATACCTTTTCAACAATAACAACCACCACAAATTGTAGGTCGAACTTGTCATGTTTTAAATTCTATCTGCATATACAGCACAACACATTGTCAGCATATAATCATAAAGTAGTACTAAATTTCAAACATTTAAAAAAAAATCCTTTAACAACTAGTTTATACAAGACTGATAAAGAGAGTAAGGAATAAAAATCAGAAACAAAAGTAGTACTTTTATAAGATTCATTTAAGTTTCAATTCGTAGAAAAATATCTATAATTATAATCTTGCATTTTCAGGAACACTTTCGTCTGTGATCGAAACATGCATTAAACAATCACACTAAACTTCATTGACAGTTTCACACGCATATTTCAAGAATTTCTTTATACAAAGTCAGTATGGATTATCCTTTTCTATTGCTTACTACATGTATGTGCCCTACGCTTCCACAAACATGAACTTGAATATTCTGTATGGAAATACTATTGCTTTGTGATACTATCTAAAACTATTCTAAGGATGGTTGATATCATTAAAGGTATTACAAAGTTTTGGTAAATTTTGAAAATTGGCTGGATAGTGATTCTTTACAATTTTGATATATATGGATGCCCTTATGGATGTATTATAAGCACTAACAAAATTAGCCCCTAAAACACTTTGTTTTCATTGAATACACAAATTTACCGGTGCTCCCGGTAAATTTTGATTAATTTCAAATAGCGCCTACGACCATACGATGGTAGCTGCGACCA